CCCATGCTGAGGACCCCAGAGCTGGACGCAGTACTGCAGGTGGGGTCTCACCAGGGCGGAGCAGAGGGGCAGAATCCCCTCCCTCGACCTGCTGGTCACGCTGCTTTTGATGCAGCCCAGGATACGGCTGGCTTTCTGGGCTGCGAGAGCACATTGCCAGGTCATGATGAGCTTCTCATCAACATATAATGCTTGTGTGTATTAGGGGATTTTGCTCATGTCTTACAGAGTTGATTTGTAGTTTTCTCAGAATGAAGCGTTGTTACAGGGATTTGAAAGAGTGGCCTTGTCATATTAAAATGCCTCTGTTTTTGAAAGACTAATGTCCTTAAAACTGTAGATGAAACTGAACAACACTTTTAGAAAGAGGAGATTTGCCTTGAGGCCTTGAGGTTACTGATCTGAGACCCATTTTCTTCTGGGCTTTACCAAGGCAGAGAAGAAAATGACCAAAATTTCTAAAGGACCCATTTCTAAAGTAACTGTCCATTTGTTGCTCATTGTCTCCATTCATGGGTCAGAACAAAGATTCAGCACCAGAAGTTAGCAGGTGACGTTTCTTCAAATCTTAAATTATGCCTTTGGGGCACTATGAACTTGCGTCCTTTTCTCTAGGAGGATTGAAGGCAGAAAGGGTATACTCAGAAAGGACGTAAATCATGGAAAATAGTACATTAAATTTTAGTAGTTGCCCATAAAAGCACACAGCTAATGAAATCTTCTGTAATGAGTAGCAGCAAATTTTGACCATTCATTGGAATGAAAAACAAGACCCAAGAGCCTTTTCTTTAGCTGCTTTGCTTAAATGAGTTATCAACATTGGCTTTTCTGGGGATCAGACTGGAGCTATTAAAATGCCTCCTGCAGCAGGTTTCTTTCTTGTGAAATGGCAGAACTGTACAAATGAGGGTATCATCAATTGGAACAGACATTTTTATAGGGCATCGTCAAACCAGGGAGCTGTCAGGGAAGTTTCCACCTTTGTAACTATGGAGGTGATGAATCAATGATGCACGTGATTCAACTTACTAGTGATTTAAACTGAGGGTAGATTTTTGACTGCTTAAATACAGAGTTGTGTGTTTTCTGATGCACCGCTTCAGTGATGCAAAATTTTTTAAAATGGCTGCCTATTTCATTGGAGAATGTGGCATTCCTTTATGTTGTTGTCTTGGGAGGCTTTTGAGAAACCATATTTAAATGTTCAGCTTCACATGTGGTTTTCAGAGATCATTAGAACAAGAAAATCATCAGGAGTCAGCATGGCTTCACCAATGGGAATTCAACTGGCTCTGGGTGCCCCCGGCTTGAGCAGGGAGGTTGGACCAGATGACCTCCAGAGGTCTCTTCCAACTTTAACCATTTTGTGTGATTCTGTCATTTGGTGTCGTCTTTGAATGGAACTAAACCATGAAAACCACTTGAAATCATTAAATGATTCTGAAACTTAGGTTTCCAAAGAGGTCAGTTTAGCTAACAACATTTCAAGCTATATGTCAAACTGATCTGGAAAAGCCTCCATCAGACTTAATGCAATCCAGTATTTCTATTGGTTTGCATAGGGCTATGTACAAGAGTTGATAGCTGAGATGGGACAACAAAGCAGTATGTTGAAGCTGGTTTTTTTAGTATAAAACTGCAAATTGAAGTTTAAAGGCTTCATTATGGTGGAGAAGGGCAATTGTAATAATTTAAATTTTAAATATTCATTTGCTGACATCACATTTCACTTGTTTTACCCTCAAGGAGTGTGGAGAAACTTACTTCTTGGTATTACTGAAGAAATCCTATGGAATTCTTCTTTGGTGTTTTCTACCTGTATTGTTTTTGAATATAGTGAAGCTGGTTTTAATTAAAATAGGACTTTTTTTTCCTTCTCTTTGATAAATCGCAAAGGAGAAGTGGTTAATCAAATCAAATCTGAATAGCAGGTCCACAATTTAGAATGATTTGTAAAAATAATTGTTGTAAACATCTATAGGAATTTAGTGGCTTCTCTACGTAATGCAAGCGCTTATGGCATGAATGATGATCTTACCCCTTTAAAGGGAGGCATGTTTTACAGGCATTTCAGGTAGAAACTGGTGACTGTAGAAAGCTAGGAATAGGTTCTGACAATCTTGTGCTTTTTGTCTTGATACAAATGAATAACAAAGTCATTCACATTCTCAGTTTAAGAGTAAATGCAGATGAAGGTTTCGGTTCTGAGAGCTGATCTGTAGGGACATCTTCCCCCACCTGTGGAGCTCCTCTGCCCACAGAGAATAGCATGTGGGATTGCAATTTTCAAGGTGAGCTTCTTTACAACCACCTGTCTACTTTGATGCCTTTTTTCGAAGAGGTGGGGGACAGGAGGGGCTGATTCCTGGGCCAAAGCTTTGTGGTCAGATAACCCCTTGATGACATTAAATGGCAGAAGAGGATGTTTGAAGTGGGGAAGAAGCAGGAAAAGAAGAACATCTTCAGTTGCCCGGGGTTGGAATCTTGTCAGATCTTACAGATAAATGGGCCCCCAAAGCTACCCAGGGTACCTGTTTAATAGGCAGAATGTGCAGGAAACATGGTCCCTACTGTTTTATCAAAAGACCAGATCTAACAAAACTTACATACCAGTGTGTTGCTACTAGATACTGAACTATTCACTTTGCTGTTGTTTGTAAGAGATGTAAATCAATGTCCTGACTATTTGAGGGTGTTCAAAATTGCTTTGCTCTTTTGAAAATGGAAGAGCGTTCATCTTAGTGTGCTGGCAGAGTTCTCAGCAAGATTGCTGCCTTTAGTCCTCTTAAATGCTGTCCTCACATTTGGATACAGCGGTATTTCCTCCCTCTCAGGTTTTCATTGTGTGATATTAAGAATAATTTACAGCCTGCTTACAAAGGGGCTGCAGCATAATGACAGGGACCTGTCCTCTAAAAGGTTGCTTAGGCTGTGAAATGTTTGCATTGAACTCAGAGGAACAAGATAGTTGTGGGTTTTTTTTTTTGTTTTGTTTTGTTTTTTTTAAAACAGTAAGTTAAAACCTTTCTTCCTCTAGCATTTCCAGTGCTGTCTTTTCCGTAGCTCTTGTTCCAAAGAGCTCATTTTCTGTGTTTGTGCCTGGCATGCTGTGTTTTTTTGAGAATAACAAATAGCATTAACAAAGTGGGTAGACCATGTACACAGTGCTCGAAGTGCTTTGCAGCCTTGTGGGTTGAAAGGTGTGTGATAGATGAGAGCTTTGAGCAGAAATATGTGTGCTTGCAGTTGTTAACTTCTAATTGGTATTGCTGCTTATGTGTATTTGAAGTATCTTCTATATTATCTTTGCTTTTTTTGCCCTTTAAAAAAATAATTAATGCATTTTGGATGTTTCTAGTTGCTTGCCCCATAACTTGCCCAAATTTAATTGAAAGAAGCGAGTGTGAGAGGGGAGAAAAGCACTATTTGATCTCCCTGATGTTCATTACTTAAAACCTGATGTCATTCTTCATTGTGACGTGTGCTGACCTCAGAGGCTCCATTCTCATCACACTCTTACCTGGCAGTGTTGCTGGTGCTCTAGGTTGAATGCAAGAGCGTGTGAACGGTGAGTATGGTTTGAGCTAGAGGTGCTGGGGTTGGGATTACACTGACGGAAAGAAACAATCTCTGCTGTGGAGGTTGGTGTAAGCTGACACTGAAATAAGTATTGTCTGTTTATCGTGATGCTCTTTATAAAGTGGCACCATGCAGGCTCTTTGGGACATGGTTTTCTTGATCTTGTGCTAACTCAGTGGTGCTGATGCTCTTCTGTTCAGTGTCATAGCTTTAGATAGCTACAGGGCTGCACGCTACTTGCGACATGCCAGTTTTCATTTCTGCCATATCATTTAAATCCTTCTAGTGGATCTTTTGACGTTTATTCAGGTTCTTGGATAAGTTTTGATTTAAGTAAAAAATCTGGTGAGCAGTAGAAACCATGGGAGTCATCTGTCATCCAACAGCCCTTATCAGAGTTCAGTACCAGTAAGATGAAACAGCTGTTAGGTTTTAATTTCTATGCAAGGGTATGGTATGGTGGATGGCACAGCTTCAGATGTATACTTCAGTGCCGTTTGTCCGTGTACTGCCGCTCCGGCTGTTAACAAGCCGTGTGACTGTAGATCTTCCAAGATGCTTTAGTTGAGTTTGCCTTGAACACACTTAGTTCACATAAGTGTTTGAATATATTTATTAAATGTTTCACCCAGTCTTTAACAGAGACATGCTTTTGTTGTTGCTGGGTGTTATCTGTAAATTAAGAAATGTTGCTTAATGAACATACTTAAAACAAGCATAGAACCTCTTGCTTTTCTCTTCCTTGTCGCTTAGCAACAGTATTTCTCCCTGTGCAATCCCTGTTACTTCGGGAGAACTGTATCCACAATATCCTCTCTAATTCTTCTTGTTTTTCCTTTCTAGAAGCCTTGCTAAAAGATTTGAGTAACTTCATCAACCCCTTGACAGACGTAATAAAACAGAATAGGATAACATCAAACAATCATTCACTTTGGCAGTGTAAACTTTGCCGAATTCATCAGAAGTGTGTTAAGCTTGATACTGTTTATAATGAAAATTCCTCTCTTGTGAAGAATTATAGCGAAGAAAAACAGCTGGGTTAGAAATTTAGGGCTTTTAGCTCCTTGAAACACACTCAAGGAATTTGTAGTGATATAATACCTTCTCATTTATGAATATCTTAATTGCACCAGACTTCCTCTGCTTCCTCTCTCATATGTAACTTATGCCATGACCTCTTTTTCTAAATCAATCAAATATGCAGGCTGTTGTATTTATGTATAGGGAAGCCCCCAAGCAAACAGAAATATCCACTGCCTCCCCCCAGAATCTGAGTGTCACTGGTTTCCTTGTTTGTTCCTTGGTTGCTCAAAGTGGTAGGAGTTCTGTGAAGGCAAAGGAGTTTATATGCTGCTTTTGCATGGTGCTAAGTGTTGGTTTTAATAGTTTAAATCTTGGATTCTTTTAAAAATCTATTCCAGTGCGAGAAACAAGCCTTCTGGAAATTAAAGAAGATACGGAACTGGATCCAGAGGAGAACAGCACTGTCTTCATGGGCATACTCATCAAAGGGCTGGCCAAACTGAAAAAAATCCCTGAAACGGTGAAAGCCATCCAGGATCGCTTAGAACAAGAACTCAAGCAGATTGTTAAGCGGTCCACAACCCAGGTGGCAGACAATGGTTACCAGAGAGGGGAGAATCTTTCCCAGGAAAATCAGCCTAGGTAAGGATATTTCAACCACTGAACCTTGACTGCTGCAAAAAGAAGTCTGGAGAAGGGTGTCATATCTGTTAATGGCTGTTTGAAGGAATGAGAGTAATGGTTTTGCAGTAGCAGAGATATGAAATGGTAAAATTTTCAGGAATGCCTGTGTCTCACTGAAAGGCTGATGTGCCTTGCGCACCTGAAAGGCTTGAGAATTTAAGAAATGTATTTAGAAAGGGGAGGCATTGTTGCTTCTCAGCTAAGGATGTGGGAAGAGGAGATGCTTCCTTCTGTGCTTGGCCCTAGAAGAGAATCTTTTGGCTAAACAGATGTTTGAAATGCAGATTTGAAGGTGGAAGTACAGTAGAAGCCAGCGTTATTTAAGTAGCAAGAGGTGCATTATGTTAAGTACTTGATTTTTTTTTTTTTTTTTTAACCTAACCTTTTGTTTTAAGCGGCTTTACAACAGATTGAATTGTAATGCTCTCTCAGATTGCTGGTATGTATGGTGTAAAGAACACTTGGTGCTAAAACAAATACTATCTTCTTGTGTTGCACTGAATCATGGCTTTACACTGGTGCTGATGCCAAAGAAATTTTTAAGATCCTTCGTAATATGAATTGAAAAGGGAAGATTCAGCTCAGTTATGTATTTCAAGTGTAGTGGAGTCCAATTAAGCTGATGCAGGTGCAAAGCTTTGAAATCATATATGGAACTAATTATATCAGTAAATATATGGCCAAATTTCTAATTGGTTTGCAGCCCCATTTACATTAATAGCAAGGTGCGGAAGTCAACAGAGAACTATGTTTCTGCTGTTCTTCAGGATTTGCTAGAACTGTTTTTTGGAAAGTAGGACTCCGTAAGGGCTAGCTATCACTTCCAGCTGAAATACTAAGTTGTGATACTGCACATTGTAACAATCAGTGTCCAAAGGGAATTAATGGTGGAAGAGAAAAATGAAAACAAAAATGTGTGTCTTCATCATATGTAATATTTGTAGTGGAAAATCACTCCCAAGGAAAACTTTAGCTTGATAAAGACTTCTTTTTTAAATTCCTATAGTTATCATTGCTGTGGAAACAATTATGTTTTGAAGAACTCATAGAGTTACGGTGCTGATAACTTGGTGATATTACAAAAAGCTTTTTGGGTGGGTCAGAAGGCAGATTTTTAGTTTCTGATGCGAAGAGGGAGCATAGCATATGCTTGATACTTGTTTTATGAATCAGTCTTGAGAGTTTATAAGGCTACTTGTTGTCCATTGAAATTGATAAATTGGTTCAGACCATATTTTAATGACATTAACCTGCTCAGAAGGTTGGGTAACATACAAAAAAGTAATGGGTTTTGGCATGTGTTTAACAGGAGTCTGTGAGCCTTTAAGATGCTTGTATTCTAGAGTTATGGAAAGTGTCTTGAATTCTTGTTGAATAAGGAGATAATTAGAACTGATTCTAAACCTAAATCACATGTGAAGTTTACAGCAAGCAGGTGAATTCATTTATATTGAAAAGAATAAATTACAGTATGGAAAGGTATACTGCTCCTTAGTTTTGATTTAAAACTGTAGCTAATTTAAGTGACTTTCCTGCTGTCAACAACAAGGTCCTACTATTTCAAGAGAGCTCTGTAAGACCCCAAATTTGAGCATGATGCAGTGCCCAAAACTGCTTAACTATTCATTAGGCTGTCAGCCACAATGCATACTTGACCTCAGGATTCAGCGAGTAAAATGTTTTTCAGTTCACCTTAAAACTAGTCACACTTGGATGCCTCTTAGTCTCTATCATTGAGCTCAGTGCCTGTATTCAGCTTCTGTACTTTAAATGGTATCCATAAAAATTCTCACTTTTGGCAAGTAAAATGACTAATAAGATGACAGAGGGGCCTGAGGGGTCTGAGGCCACTGATTGAGCCTTCTGCTGGACAAGTTCCCTGCGGCTCGTTCGGAACGCACAGAACAAGTTATATGCATTTCTTCATCGCTGTGTGGTGGCTCTCAAAGGTTGGCTCTTATTTTTTCCATATGAAGAGGGTGGCGTTTCCTTCTGCTTGAGGATGAGGCTGATAATCTGCGTGTGGAGGTTCTGGTATAATTCCTTTTGGGAACCCATGTAACAATTACATAGAGCGTTCTCATTGTACAAGAGAGAAATAGTTTCTAGAACCTGGCCAGAAAAGTTGCAGATCTGGTAAGAGCCACTGAGTCTGAAGAGACACTGATCTCATTCTTCTTATTTTTTAAATTTGACTGCCTTTTGCTTCTTTACCTAGTAAGCTTTTCCATATCGATTTGTGCGGCCACCTTTTACATTTGTATATAAGAACATTATTAATTGCTCCCAATTTCTTAAGATCAAGATTTTAATTCTTTTTCATTATGACTAAAGCAGCTAGCTCCCAGAGAGTAATGATGTCTCTCATACACCTCTGGGTGCTCTCTTCATAAAGCCAACAGGCAGTGGGCTCCTGGGTCAGCTCCGTAGAGCTCCATGAAGCCTATTTTCTCACATGGAAGTCCTGTAGCCCCTGTAAGCCTGCCAGGAGCAAGTCTTGTCCATGCTTCACTAGATGTTGTGTACCAGGCTTGTTAATAAGCACACGCACAAGTGTGAGCGATGATTGCAATGTTGATAACGTGTGGCCCATTCTCTCATGGGTGCATTGTGCTTGTCCTTTGGTTTGAGCACTCCGCAATGTAGCTGAATAGAGTTGCTGTGAAACTGGAAGGGCTCATTTACTGAAGATGACACTAGCCTTGCTAAGGACCTCCATATAATGGCAGAAGTATATTTTTCATCAGTGGGGTCACAAAGGAAAGACTTGCTTGGCTCTGTGATACAACTGATTCTTAAGTTCCCTAAAACATGCAACATGGATGCAGTTGTGTAGGATAACAGACTTAGGATAGGCCTAACTAGATGGACCATCTTTGGCTGTAAGATACTTTGCTGTGAATATAAACCCTCTTTACTAATGTGCACTTACCACCATGAAATGTGAATGGTATGAAGATAGTAAAACCTGATAAAGGGCAGTAGCATGTTCCTAGTAGTTCCTTGTCACTGGTAGAAGATAATTTTGAAAACTATGCTTGAATCTCACCTAGTTGCAGCTGACCTCAGCTTTAATTTAAATGGACTTTTCTTTAAAGTCTGGGTAAGTTCTCTGAGGTTTTTAGATGTCTGTGCTTGGAACAAGTTTATGAAAAAGGGCTTAAATATAGGAATTGCCATTGCCATATCCTTAAGTAGTGGCTCATTAGAGCATGCCTTGGACCTTCATGTTTAGAAATATGTATCTTGGGTTGTGGAGGACAAAGTGTCACGGAAGAGAGGCCATGTTACATTAGCTTGGGGTACTGCTACATGAACCCCTTCTGGATTATGGAAGATTGTTGACTTTAGAATAATAATAATAATCTGGATGCATGCCTACTTGAGGGCCAGATTTATGCGACAAGATTTTGGTAGGGATACATGCAAAATGCAGTCCAGGAGGAGATGGCGTATTGGCAATTTTGCTACTAAATCCTGTTGACTGGATTCAACGCACTTTTCCCTACATGTTCATAATACACTTCTGGCTTTTTACCTCATCTCGAGGCTTTAAAGTAAATACAGAAATTATATACACGCCAACACTCTGACCAGGCAAAGGACATTACTGCTGCTAAAATGCATGAATTGTCATTAGCGACCTCATGCAGGTGTCAGCAGTCACTCTGCATCAATTCATTCTCCGTTATTGCCTGGACAATAAGAGTTGCTTTCGGGTGTGTGTCACTGTCTCTCAACATATTTACCATATTTCTTGGTGAAGAGGTTATGAGATTGTTTTGACAAATTGCCTAAGCCAGTCTCCTGTCATTCTCTGTATGTGTTCTGCTTAGGTCACTCGGTGCTGCAACCCCATATGCATAAAATCTAGGCCATACTATTTTATGCTGTTTTGTCTTGTTGGCTGTCTGACACGGACTGTGTCTGTGTCTCTTTTGGGTCACCTTGTTTCAAAAATGACCTGACAGATTTAGAAGACTTTTAGAGAAAAGAAAATTGAGATAAGAGGTCCTGGCTAATTTGAAAACAGGGATATGTGGAAATACGACGTTAGTTGACAATGGAAAATGTAATGGGGTGGTAGTTAGTGCCACCGAAGAATGTCGATTGGGGAGGTTTCATGTCTATAAGTCTGTAACATGAGAATAGGAAGACATTGGAATTTAAAACCAAATAATTCTGTTCAGTATAATATTATTTTAGTAATGGCTCCATAAACAAGTTGATAATATGAGGTCAGGCTCACGGAGGGACAATAAAAATGAATTTGTCAAACTATCCAGCTAGTTTGGTTCTGCAAAATTGTACTTTCCTGGGGCAACAAGGAGGTATCTAGATAACTAAATTTTCATTTGCAATGGGATGTTAGTAGAAGTTGGGCTTGCACTGATAAATTTTTTTCAGCGGTATATAATTAATTTTCTCCCATAATGTTATCTTTTTTTGGCATTTCAACGAAGGCTGTATGTAAGTTCCTCCAACATGAAATTCCTCATCTATCCAAATTCTTCTCTATCTGGCTTTCCTCCTGTTTTTATCTGGCTTCTGGCTGACCAGCTACTTGCCCCAGCTGCCTCTCTGTCACTTGCTATGAGAAGTTCTATATACCTCTTAGGGGCTGTTGAAGCAATAATCGTCTCTCCCATGTCGGAGTGGGTTGGAGAAGATACTTGCTTAACAGCGATGGAGCGTGTTTTTCAGGCAGCCTTATCTGCATATTGTCCTGTCTCCTTCACTGGTAACATTGGTGATGGGCTAACAGCAGTTAGGGAAGGAGGAGGTCGTCTATGTCTTTCTACAGTAGCAACTTCTTAGTTTCACTTGGACAGGATAGTTGTTAGGCTTTATAGAAAGCCTAAATGGTGGAGAATGGCTTTTCTTCTGCACTGGACTTTCCCAAATTGAAAATGTAATACTGTTAATATTGATAATAGCTTTCTTTTCTGGTTCTGTCTTTAC